TATTTTTTTATTTTAATTCTATATAGTTATAGAATTAAAATAAAAAAAAATTTGTCAAGTTTGGTTTAATAGTTGTTGAGATATTTTAATTTAAAGTCTGAAAAAAATTTACTTAAAATAAATTCGGTGGTTTCTACTTTTGACCTCCCATATGTTGGATTAATAATGAAAGATGTGTGCTGGGCAGTATTGTGATTTTTGGTGCATGCCAGTTGAATGGTGGCAAAGGTGTGTTGATTGATTTCCTCGAATATTAATGCTCTGAATGTTAGTACTTTGTTTTGGTCCTGTTGTGTTGTTGGAAGGAGTTTTTCTAATTGTGCTAAACTATAAAATACTATCATTGCTATTGCAAAGAATACCTTGTCACCCCATTTATTCAGGTTTAGATTGCTTTCCAGTATTTGCAGATGGTACTGTATTATGTGTAGTTTTTGGTTAATCAGCTTGTGCATGTGATTTTTGTCAATAGTTTTTAATTGCATATTTCTGTCCATTCAAATGATTTATTTTGTAGTGGTGTTTTAGTGCTGATAAGTATAATAAGAGCATTGGAGGTGAGACTCTGTTATGCATGTGTGTAATAAAGTTGATAAGGTTTTCTTTTGTGACAGAGCAGATTTTTTTCTGTGAATTGACCCACTAGTTTGTGTGTAATTGTTTTATACTGTCTTATTACTGATTCATATATTTTGTTTGTATTTCTATACCCAGTATCTGGGCAGCTTGTTGGTTAAGTAGTTGAGTTGAGTTTAGATTCATTTTTGTTAGTTTACTTTATGCATTCATTTTGTTGTGAGCCAGGTGGTATTTGCTATACATATCTGTTAGAAAAGTAAAGATATTGTTGATATGAGATTAGTATACTTGTACAGAATTATAGGCTGTAGATAATATGAGGTTGGGTTTGTGTTCAAAAACTATCTATAGCCATTTTGTAAGAGTAGGTTTGTTTTTGAATTTATCTTTTCTGGTATATACTCTATTTTAATTGAAAAATTCTTATATATTTAAGCTTGGTATATTTTTGCTATTATTTCACTAATATTGTACTTTTACCCAAGTTAGATATATTGATAAAGAGATTTTGTGTAGTTAAACTAAGTCATTGTTAATCTTCCATCAGATATACACCTGACTAGCTTGGTAGTATTGTTATTTATCATCTAATATCTAATTTTATAAGGCTGTTTATTTTAATATAGTAATTAGAGTTGTTTACTATATTTAATATATTGATAAAAGGGTGTAGTAACTTAGTGAAGTGGTCAAGTTGTTATCTCCAAGTAGCAGGTCTAGAGTTAAATTTCTACCAGTGATAATTATTGAATATCAAAACTTGTATATCTCCAATATTTCAACTTAATTGTGTATATTAGATGTATAACAGACACTATAATCTATAGTTATACCAATGATGATTGAAAGTACAAAATATTTGTATATATAATATAACCCATGGGGTACCAATTAGCAAAAATCACTTGCAAATTCTGAGGATGGTGTTCATCTGGTGCATTGGTAGAACTAATAAAGGAATGCAAACTGTATGACCAGTGCAAATATACAATAAGACTATATAAAGGTAATCTCTATATATATAGAGTAGAACTGTTGTATAGTCACACAATAATCATATACAAACACATATATGCAAACACAAACAAAAATACTATATAGACAATTAAAATTCTTCTGTAAAATATTAATGCAGCTGCCACCTTACTAAAAGATATATCTGTTGTAGTTAGTAAGGAAATAAGGTATAGAGATTGACAGTAAAGCCTCTATATGCGGAGAACTAAGTTATTAGTCAGACTCAACATACAGAGCAGATTTTGGAAACCTGCACAGCTGCAAGCAACCTTACAAAAAAGATACAACTTTCCAAATCATCACCAATATCTTTAAACTCCTATGATTTGGATATTTGCTATAACAAATTTCTTACTTACCATCAACTTCTTTTATTAAGAGAACTACAAACTATCAATTCTTTTTTGCAACATCTAAAACAAAACAATATCAAGCATCTTGCAAGCTACATCATTATTACAATTAATAGTAATAAAACAGAGGCACATATATCTATCACATGAATCTGAAATACTTTCTAACTACTATATTTTATTTATATATGATTTTTATGATATTCCTTTAAAATCACAATCAAATACACTGATCTTCTCTTTACTTTTACCCAATACTAATCAACTTACTAATAATTACCCAAGCAACTCTAAGTTTAACCAAGCACTTAACTTATAAATATATACACATAATATACGAGGATATAATAATGATCTTAAGCAACAAGTCTAGGAAGATTTTTGTCTTTCCTATAATCTAAACATTATCAGTATTACTGAAACTAAAATAGCTAACACAAACCCTATTACTAAGTTACAAAAATCTAAACACTTTACCTATTACTGGTCTTACACTAGCAGCTCTAAAGCTAGTATAGCTATTATAATTAACAATTGGATTAAACTTAGAGTTGCTTGGGTAATTATTAGTAAGTTGATTAGTATTGGGTAAAAGTAAAGAGAAGATCAGTGTATTTGATTGTGATTTTAAAGGAATATCATAAAAATCATATATAAATAAAATATAGTAGTTAGAAAGTATTTCAGATTCATGTGATAGATATATGTGCCTCTGTTTTATTACTATTAATTGTAATAATGATGTAGCTTGCAAGATGCTTGATATTGTTTTGTTTTAGATGTTGCAAAAAAGAATTGATAGTTTGTAGTTCTCTTAATAAAAGAAGTTGATGGTAAGTAAGAAATTTGTTATAGCAAATATCCAAATCATAGGAGTTTAAAGATATTGGTGATGATTTGGAAAGTTGTATCTTTTTTGTAAGGTTGCTTGCAGCTGTGCAGGTTTCCAAAATCTGCTCTGTATGTTGAGTCTGACTAATAACTTAGTTCTCCGCATATAGAGGCTTTACTGTCAATCTCTATACCTTATTTCCTTACTAACTACAACAGATATATCTTTTAGTAAGGTGGCAGCTGCATTAATATTTTACAGAAGAATTTTAATTGTCTATATAGTATTTTTGTTTGTGTTTGCATATATGTGTTTGTATATGATTATTGTGTGACTATACAACAGTTCTACTCTATATATATAGAGATTACCTTTATATAGTCTTATTGTATATTTGCACTGGTCATACAGTTTGCATTCCTTTATTAGTTCTACCAATGCACCAGATGAACACCATCCTCAGAATTTGCAAGTGATTTTTGCTAATTGGTACCCCATGGGTTATATTATATATACAAATATTTTGTACTTTCAATCATCATTGGTATAACTATAGATTATAGTGTCTGTTATACATCTAATATACACAATTAAGTTGAAATATTGGAGATATACAAGTTTTGATATTCAATAATTATCACTGGTAGAAATTTAACTCTAGACCTGCTACTTGGAGATAACAACTTGACCACTTCACTAAGTTACTACACCCTTTTATCAATATATTAAATATAGTAAACAACTCTAATTACTATATTAAAATAAACAGCCTTATAAAATTAGATATTAGATGATAAATAACAATACTACCAAGCTAGTCAGGTGTATATCTGATGGAAGATTAACAATGACTTAGTTTAACTACACAAAATCTCTTTATCAATATATCTAACTTGGGTAAAAGTACAATATTAGTGAAATAATAGCAAAAATATACCAAGCTTAAATATATAAGAATTTTTCAATTAAAATAGAGTATATACCAGAAAAGATAAATTCAAAAACAAACCTACTCTTACAAAATGGCTATAGATAGTTTTTGAACACAAACCCAACCTCATATTATCTACAGCCTATAATTCTGTACAAGTATACTAATCTCATATCAACAATATCTTTACTTTTCTAACAGATATGTATAGCAAATACCACCTGGCTCACAACAAAATGAATGCATAAAGTAAACTAACAAAAATGAATCTAAACTCAACTCAACTACTTAACCAACAAGCTGCCCAGATACTGGGTATAGAAATACAAACAAAATATATGAATCAGTAATAAGACAGTATAAAACAATTACACACAAACTAGTGGGTCAATTCACAGAAAAAAATCTGCTCTGTCACAAAAGAAAACCTTATCAACTTTATTACACACATGCATAACAGAGTCTCACCTCCAATGCTCTTATTATACTTATCAGCACTAAAACACCACTACAAAATAAATCATTTGAATGGACAGAAATATGCAATTAAAAACTATTGACAAAAATCACATGCACAAGCTGATTAACCAAAAACTACACATAATACAGTACCATCTGCAAATACTGGAAAGCAATCTAAACCTGAATAAATGGGGTGACAAGGTATTCTTTGCAATAGCAATGATAGTATTTTATAGTTTAGCACAATTAGAAAAACTCCTTCCAACAACACAACAGGACCAAAACAAAGTACTAACATTCAGAGCATTAATATTCGAGGAAATCAATCAACACACCTTTGCCACCATTCAACTGGCATGCACCAAAAATCACAATACTGCCCAGCACACATCTTTCATTATTAATCCAACATATGGGAGGTCAAAAGTAGAAACCACCGAATTTATTTTAAGTAAATTTTTTTCAGACTTTAAATTAAAATATCTCAACAACTATTAAACCAAACTTGACAAATTTTTTTTTATTTTAATTCTATAACTATATAGAATTAAAATAAAAAAATA